GTGTGTGTGTGTGTGTGTGTGTGTGTGTGTGTGTGTGTTGCAGATTAGTGCCAGAGGCTTCATCGTCACCCGCTAATCCCAGCTGAGAAATTTGCTTCCTACCACTGTTAGAACTACTTATGCCTCCTCCTGTGTCCTGCACCTCCGCAGTCTCTGAAACATCCTTTACATGGATCCTAATCTGAGGCTGCACCTTCAGCACCAGCAGCTCCAGCTGTCGCCTGGATTAGCTGGAGTTTACGGGCTGTGAAAGGGAGTCTATTTTAGGAGCCGGGAACAACACAGGTTCTTTATGGCCATCTAGACTAAAGCAAGTTTTTTAATGTGYGTTATGTAAAAGTTTGTTCCAAATGCAAGCTTAGTATTTTCTAAAGGGATGCATGTCTTGCTATTTTGGTAAAAGCTTGAAAACAACATTATGCATGATCTCATGTATTAAAAGATCTAGGATTTTTTTTCACTGCTTGAATGTTGTGATCATTGATGAATAGCAGACMTAATATTAGCTTAATGTCTGTAAATTTATGTAGAGTTAATCAGGTTAACATTCAATGCCTAGGTTTTAGACAAAGACGTAACGCAAAGTGTTGCACTCAAAGCCTATGTTGGGAAACATGGTCAGCTACTACCACACACAACTGTAGCTCAATATCTGTAAAATTGCGTGAGTAATAGCAATACTTGTTTTCCAAAGTTGGCCATCTTGAATTGGATTGACACCAAATGTGAATTAGTTGGACATCTAAGGATTACATTGAGAGAATTTCATAAAAAATCCATTCGGTGGCTCACAAGATATTTTGCTAACAAACAGGCAGAGCTGATTCCAGTAGGTAATAGCAAAGCTTTAACGCAGATCTACTGTTATCCCTCAGACTCTAAAATGGGCTTTAAAGTTTTAAGTAATGTGTTGCACTCAACGTGTGTGTCGTGGAATATGGTGAGCCACCACCACACAAAATTTTAGCTCATTGTCTGTAAAACTAAACAAGTTATAACTTTTTTAAAATTTAATTTTATTTATTTTTTCTTGCCTGGTTCACATGGCAAGATTTTAAAATTGTCGGTTGATTTTCAAAGACAAAGAAGGCCCAACGGATGACAATAAAAAAAACAAAAATATACGGTCCAGTGTGTGGTGTACAGGGCAAGGAGTTCTTTGATTTGGTTGATTATAATATTCTGATGGTTATGTATAAGGCCCTCAAAAACACATTACCGTTAAATATCCAAGTAAATTTTGTTAAGAAAAAGAGTTGTTGTAATCTTAAACGGAGAGAGATATTTGTAAAACCCAAATTCAGAACTAGTTTGAAGGAAACTATGGAATAACTTGGGGACTGATGTAAAAACTGCAGGATCATTGTGTACATTTAAGAAAATTATAAAAGTTGGATTGTTAAAGACATTCGAAACAGTATAATGTGTATCTATGTAGACTAGATTGTTGTTCTAGAGCAGGGGTGCCCAGAC